TTCACACAGAAAAAATGTATATGCAGTTTCACAAGATAAATGGCATTACAAGTTTGTTATAAATACTCCCTTGTGTTTGTCATTAGGAAACTAGTAATACATTTTCTGCAGTACTTTAGGTGTATTTAGCTTTGATACAAGTTGTACAACATTGAGTAAATAAGCCAGGAAGCAAAACCTATAGAATTAATATAGCTAATATACATTATAAAAAGGCAGAGCTACAAGCAGACCACTCCAACAATAAAAAGCCTATTTTTCAAAGCTACATTAGCTTACTGTGGGGAACAGAGACAATGAACTACATTTTTGACTATACAAAACATTTTGTGTGGTATAACACCTTACATTACAAAAATATAAAATGTGTAATTGCAAAATATAGTATAAAAATATAAATGATAGCAAACGAACAAATATAATAGCTTCTCACCTGATGTATTTCATTAAACCAGCTGTCAGAAGTGGACTTAGGTTCTGCTATATGAGGGTTACTTTCACATTTTGTAAGTGTTGAGTCTGGAATATTTGCTGATGCAGGAAAACAAGGGGGATAACAAGATACTGGGGGTTCTGGTGGAGCCATCCTCACTTCCATGTACTTTAAAGTTCCATCTGTGTTCAGGTAAAGTGTCGGTTTATAATGATCCATATAGGATCCCGGGAGGGATTTGTTTGGAAAACACGAACCACAACCACTTTCAATATTATTTTTAAGGCACCTTACCAATAATATCACAAAGGTTACCAAGGAAACTAAACTGATGGCTACCAGAGAAATTATAAGATACAAAGTCATATTTGGTGTTGATTTAGAATTTGTAAGAAAATCATGAGATTTGGGGGTTTCCTCAGCAATATTCTCCATTATATTTACAATCAGAGTGACTGTAGAGGACAGTGAAGGCTCCCCATGGTCACTGACTGAAATGACAAGGCGATATTCTGTGTTATCCATCTCCTGTAATCCTCGCAGAGTTCTAACTTCTCCTGTATATTCAGAGATGTGAAACAAAGCTGGACTGCCCGACTGAACAAGACTATAGGTGAGCCAGGCATTGTGCCCAGAATCCAGATCCACCGCAGACACTTTACTGACTAAATAACCAGCAGATGCAGATCTGGGAATGGTCTCTTGTGCAATGGTTTCCCCTGAAATCTCCGGGTATAATATAGAGGGATAATTGTCATTTGTATCCTGAATAAATATGAAGACTGAGACATTGGTAAACAACTTTGGGGATCCAGAATCTTCTACTCTCGCAGTGATCTGTAGAACTTGGAATTGTTCATAGTCAAAAGAGCGCTGGGCATAAATATTACCAGTGTCGGAGTTAATGTAGACAAATGAAGAGACAGGAGAGCTGTCTATGTGGTTCTCCACTATGGAGTAAATGAGCTTTGCATTATCTCCCTCATCTGGATCTCCAGCAGAAACTGTACACAACAGTCTTCCAGGTTCATTGTTTTCTGATATGAAGGCACTGTTATCAGACTGTAGAAATGTTGGAGGATTATCATTAACATCAGAAATATTAATGATGATTGTAGCCTGGCTGCTTAAAGATGGAGAGCCCAGATCAGAAGCAATCAGCGTAATAGTATATTGTAATACTGTCTCCCTGTCCAGATTTCCACTAGTGACCAGTGTATAATAGTTTGACATAGGCTGACATTTAAACGGTAAATATGGTGAGATTTCCAGTTTGACCTCCCCGTTTTTACCAGAATCCTTGTCTCTGACTGTGATAAAACCAACAACTGTTCCTACTGGGGCACTTTCAGGCACTTCATTATTTTTAGAAGTAAATACAATTTCTGGTATATTATCATTCACATCTTGCACTTCAACCTGGACAACACATCGCCCCTCCAGTTTGGGTGATCCTTTGTCTACAGCTTTTACAAATAATTCATATGACTTTGCAATTTCATAATCTACAGCCCCTTTGATAGCTATTTCACCCGTGGTTTCATATAAATCAAATATTTCCTTTGCTGAATCCAATGTATGGTCATCAAATGAATATAATATTTCACTATTCACACCCTCATCTATGTCTGTAGCATTTAGTTTTGTAACAACTGTTTTCAGAGGTAGATTTTCCATTAGCCCTACCTTATAGCTTGTCTGATTAAATACCGGTGCATTGTCATTAATATCTAAAACAATAACATTAATCTGAGTGGATCCTGATCGGGGAGGTTCTCCTCCATCAATAGCAGAGAGAATAAGCCTATGTTCTGATTTCTCTTCTCTGTCCAGATTTTTCTCTAGTACTAATTCTGCAATTAATGTTCCATCATTACGATATTTTTCTGCTAAAGAAAAATAAGGGTTTTTATTTAAGTTATAATGTCTCACACCATTTTTCCCCACATCCAAGTCTCTGGCAGAAGGTAAAGGAAATCTTACTCCAGGACTTGTTATTAGCTCAATAATTTGTATTGCCTGATCAGTAAGAGAGAAAATTGGATAATTATCATTAATGTCCAAAATCTCAATTTGCAGGCGAAAAAGCTCCAGAGGGTTCTCAGCTGTAACCTCTAATTGCAGCAAACAGCTGGAGCTGGATCCACACAGGATCTCTCTATCAATCCTCTCTTGTATAGTCAGAGCTCCATGTTTCTGGTCAATATTGAAATATTTACTGCTTCCTCCAGATCCCAAACTCAGTCTCCTTTTATTAATATCTGCAAGGTTTAAGCCCAGATCCTGAGCTATATTCCCGACAACAGTCCCTGGATCTGACTCCTCTGCAACAGAATAATGAAGCTGCCCAGAGACCCAGCCCCAGCTACAAAGGAGAAGGGAGAAAGCTACTTGCCATTTCCAAGCATTTGAGGAGCATTTGCAGTCCATGTCTTTAATCCCTCTTCTAAGAATCAAGTCCTTTTGTAATCCCAGTAAGTATTCCAGCTGAGTTTAAATGATTTGTTGTATAAAAAATACCATATTTGCTGCATTGAAAACATCCACAGGGTTTTCATCGGAGCAGCAGCTCTTCTTTGTGTGTGAGGAAAGAGATGGGAGGGTGAATCACTGAGCCAGGGGGAGGAGAACACATCTAACATGAACAGATTCACAAGTGTTGCCTAAAAAACAAACTGGATGGACTAGCCTGCCCTCTTCTGTCCAAAAATTAGAATTACATCCTTATTTTATAACAATGATTTTTATACACTAACATTTTGAGAATCAGTTAAAATGATTACATAATATTTAATTCACTATTTTCAAAAATAGCCATATGCTGCCCTATGTAATAAAGTATATGTAAAAAAAGGAAATGAAAAGAATGATAACAATTACAAGTTTATATTTTTGATTAAAATGTTAGAGGGACAATTCCAAAATGATATCAATATAATACAATAAGAATATGCAATAACAGTTTACAGTAAGTATAACATTGTATATTTTGAATGCATAGAAAGAATTTGGTGAAGTTTCCTGTATTTAACATGGCAGTGAGTGTTACAGTGTGGATAACTTAAACTTAAGTAGGACGTTTAAACTACTAACACTGTCCAGGAACAGATTTTCGGGCAATACCTCAGCCTGATTCATGCAGGATATAGAAAACTGGGGTGGCTTGGGATCTTAAACAAGAAAGAGAGTGACAATTTGAACCTGGGCAGTTTAGATAAGGAGACATGAAAGCTTCCTCACAGTCTGTTCTATTTAGATGACAGCAACCCAAGTGACCATGCTGTTTATAATATATATGGGCTGCAATCCCTGCCTTCCAGGAATAGAAGTACATGATCTCATTTTATGTAATCTGCATTTCTGATGAATGGGAGGGGAAGGAGGGCAAAGAAGATCTCAATTCACACTTGTCCCTCCTGTAAGATTATAGCATGGTGGGGGATCGGGTATATCTATTCCACCCTTTAAAAAACGATGAGTTATGGTGGTCCCAGGCTTCCTATAGCAAAGCTTTTTATTAAGTATGGTGCCCTATAGCAAGTGGGTGTACTACTACTGCAACTAGATTAAAAAAATAAGCTGCAATCACATATTTTGTGTCACTTGCAGGTATAATTTTACTCAATTTTTAGCTTTTATTGGAAATGACTTTTAACATCTAAATTTGTTTTTACATTTCAGTGACAAAATTATCTTTACAGAAACCCCAATTTTGGGGGAAATATCCAATATAAAGTGTGACTAAGCACAGCACAAATCCAAGACAAATGCTTAATAGTCACAAGTGAATAAAATACAAATATCATATTTATATTTTTTAGAAACATATCTAAGCATGGAGTAAACTTACTCACTAGAAAAGCAGTATAGAACAAAAACCAAACCAAACAAAAATTAACAGAATTAGGGATGCACCGACATATCGGCCGCCGAAACATATCAGTCGAAAATGGCACTTTTGGCTAAATGCCGAAAGTACCATTTTCCTGCCAATACATCGGCGCATCCCTGCTTTCTTTCCTCCCGCTGGGCTTTGCTCGGTGTCCCTGCGGGGAGGAGAGAAAGTGTGGCAGCCTGCCGAGCGCTGTGAGCGGCCGCTGTCTCTCCTCCCACACTGCTCAGCCTCCTATCACAGTCCGGCAGAGTGGTCTGTGGGCGGAAACAGGCCCTGTCACAGAAGGCTAAGCTCTCCTCCCTGCTCCCTATCACAGTCTGGCAGAGTGGTGTGTTGGCGGAAACAGGCCGCTGTCACAGGAGGCTGAGCTCTCCTTCCTGCTCCGCTTGCTCAGCCTCCTGTGACAGCGTGTCAGAGTGTTTGTACATAATTGAGGACATAGCATGTTGACTATATCCTCAATTATGAATGAATGGGGGGTGATCTATATCACCTCCTGTTCATTCATAGTTGTGGTTATAGAAAACACACAATGTTTTCATGTAATGAATGAACAGGAACATTCATAGATGATTCCTGTTCATTGATAACAAGGGGTACAGAAAAAGAGATAGAGGACTTTGTGTCCTCAATCTCTTTTTCTATTTTAAAAGGGAAATATCAGGGGTCTGTTTAGACGACCAATATATTTCCCCGAAGCCCCTAAAAGTAAAGTAAAAAATAAAAATATTTAATAAAAAATTAATAAATAAATACAAATAAAATATTGAAAACATTGAAAACATTTAAATAAAAAACATTTTCGGTTTCAGCCTGACAACTTTTTTTATTTCGGTTTCGTTTCGGTTTTGAAATTTCCATTTCGGTGCACCTCTAAACAGAATAACTGATTTTTATATTTTACTGGCACATTAGGTAGACAACACAATCTGTAAGTTCTCCATATGTCCAAGTATGGAGCAAACTTATTCAACAGCAAATCATTACGAAACAAAATGAAACCAATTTAAAAAAATTAAATATAACATCCTAAAACTTAAATTAAAATTAATATACAAATGAATATAACAATTATAGCAGAGGGATCTTGATGTTTGAGTATCCAAGGAATATAAAAAGACAGCGGCTGACATAACCCATCTTATAGAAGGAAGTACACTATCCCTACCATGAAGCCTTACGTGGATAACTGCTGATTTTGGCAAGAAGGGCACAGTGAAATTTATGAAAAAATGATGGTTAAATGAATGCAGTATATTATCAGATGATATTTGAGGAATATGTTCATTCATCATCCCACAAGGGGTACACCTGGACTTTTAACATGAAAATGATCAGAAGTATAAAGCTAAGTTGACCTTTCAGTGGATGCATATGAAACGAGTGAAGGTTCTGGCATGGCCATTACAGTCCCCTGACCTCAACAACATTGAGCCACTTGAGAAGATCTCAAACATGTTAGACAACCAAACATTTTACAGGACCTGGAGAAATTTCGCCAAAATTGGGCAGCTTTACACATGAAAAAAAAGAAAGAGCCTCATTCTAAACTATTGCAAAAAATGGCAAGACCTCATTGATGATAAAGCGGCCAATACATATTAAGAACTAGAACTAAGGGTATGCAAACTTATAAGGCCATTTTATTATTTTCATTTTTGCTATTTTTTGTAAATGTTTGTGATATCGCATGGCATGTGATAGGTACACTTGAATCACACTAAAACATAAAATACATTTGTTTGGTCTGATATCTCATGTTTTCTTAAAAGGGTCTGTAATTTACACATTTTGCAGGGTAAATAAACTTATGAGCACAAACAGTATAACTAAAATTTAGTAGGGTAGACTGGGTAGACTGGGTAGACTGAGCCTCAAAGTGATATTAAAGTCAAATGGTTTTTAAGCTTTTTAAAATGCTAAAGAAATCACTTACAATGGATGCTGCTCCTTGATGTTTAATTTTTTTAGTTTCCTGCAGGATCAGATGGTTCCCCAAGCACTGGCCCTGATATATATTTTTAGGGTGGCTCCTTGCCTTGCTGGGTCCTGTGGAGCCAGCTTTGTGTGTGCTAGTAAGCTGTGTGTGTCTCCAAAAACACACAAGCACAACAAGACAAGCTACTCTTCTGCTCCTCACACCCACCTCCTGCCTTCTCCTACCTCCCTTCTCCAACCTAGTGTATGGGCAGCTGCTGGAGACTGTGTTCCCCCTTCTGAGGTTGTACTGGAAAGGAAGTTCAGGGAAGTGGATTTGGGGAAGGTGGAAACAGCTGTTCAAAAACATGAAGACTGTAAGTGCTTGGGCAAAAACTTTAGGAAATACTTTGCTGGGCAATGTATATATGTTTGATCGGGATTCATTATTGAAAACATTTTGAGAGTGCAATACTACTTTAAAGTTATATTATACTAACATATAAAAGAGGGGAAAAAAGGAGGAGAAAAGAGGAGGCAGGAAATAAATATGCAGAATGCCCCTAAGGCCTTGATCACACCAAATGCGGAGCACATCCGGTCAGGTTTCTGCACACGCACGCTAGTCTTTTAGATGCGTTTTTGGCTAAAAAAATAATAATATTTTTTTTAAAGTTTAACATGGGCTTTCAGTGCGTTCCAGGCATTTGCATGCGTTTTTTATGCGTTTTTTATGCGTTTGCAGATCCAGAGCAGATCCAAAGCAGGTAAAATAGGGCCTGCTGCAGTTTTTTTACCTGCTTTGGATCTGCACGCTGCAATGTGAACTGGAGCTAAAAATACCATGGGAATACATTAGACACCGTTTTGATCCGGTCTGCACCTGCTCTGCTCCGCGCTTGGTGTGAACTAGCCCTAACCAGACACAGAAAACCCAACCTTGAACCTCCAATTGATGTTGCTTGATAAGAGTTAAAGTTATCTGAATCCACAAACATTGTTCTAGTTTTGGACAGAGTGGGAACGCATTAGAACTTCTGGTGGGTTCTTACATGGATGCAGGACTTTGTCAGAGAGGTTTGACCACACTTCCTGTCCTGCTGACTATGGTTTCACCAGACAGGAAGTGAACAGAAATCTGCAAGTGACACAAACAGAAATACAAATCAGATAGGGGTATAGCCTTCCCCTTCTCTACTAAAGAAAAGCATTTTTATTTATGTCTGTGGTGCTGTTGGAGCATTCTTCATTTTCATGCCTAGTGAAATATTGCCAGAAGGCTAGGAAGTCAGGGTGATATTGTTGACACAAGTGACCATTACAAGTTTACAGCATCACTGATTAGATGTTATCATTAATGCAAACTACATGCCGCCCAGTTCCAGTAATGTTTCAATCATGTACAACTCTTTTGAATCCGACACAAGTTCTACTTGCACATGTGTTCTCCATGTAGTGACTTCATGTTACAGTGAAGCACAAAACCATACAATTTGTGTTTGCTAATGTTAGGGCAAAACACACAACTATCCAAGGTCTTCCTGCACAGCCAAGGCCTCCCATGGACAGTACCTTACATTTACACCACTGGGACATGCCTGCTGCTTTTGTTATATCATCCAGTGCAAAAGAAGCCAGTTGACCACCATAGACAAACACTTACCCCTGTGCAACCACCCGGCAGCCAACAGTACTTTTCCTTCCCTCCCCTGTTTGCTGTCATACCACGCCCTGTATTGAAGTCACTCTGCTGGCCTGTTCCCCAACTACTGCCCCAGCTAGAGCAATCCTGAGTTGAAGAATAGGGAGGGCACAATATTTGAATGATCCAGTCACACAAGTGGTGAATTATAATTGATTGGCACAAGTTAAATGATAGTCACCACTTGCTGCACTGAAAAGTGCCTTATACTGTGATCTCATTAAATAGCCTAGGACACAGCCCCAGTGTGACAACTAAGTTAAACGTGAGATTGTTCCAATAAATTTGAGACAGGTGGCATGTATGCTTAGAAGATGCCAAAATAGTTACAGCCAGTTATTTGTGGGTTTCCCTCATGCTAGACACCAGCAATGCCATTGGCTGATATCACAATGTCACACTAAGGGGTCTATTCACAAAGCTGCCGAGGGCAGCCGAGTGAATGACCGATCAGAAGAAATGTTATTACACACTATATATACTGCATAAAGTAAGATTAGACTAAGTTTAAGGTTAGGCTATCCAATATCTAACCTTAGAAATGCTGATTTCGATTGCTCTCATATTTCCTGAATATGGCTTCTTATACCTTTTTGAAAGCTTTTTCTATGTGGTCAGGTCAACACAAAGCTCCAATGTATGTGTCTATGTGCACTGCAGCCAGTGCCGTTCAATCCCTTTAGAGCAGTGAGGTAATTTTAATGGCATCCGTAGCTCTAAGGCATAGTCTGACCTGAGAGAGATATGTCCACCAGTCGCACGAACATGCGAATGTTATGAGTATATTTTCTTTCCAGGTTGAAAGCAATATCAGGAAAATACCACATTACAGCCACTAAATACTTATTTCCTATGATCCTCAGCTTTATCTAGGGGCCACAATATGGTACTTCTGTATATTGCATTCAACCTGGAAAGAAAATATACTAATAGCATTTATTTTTGCCTCCATTCACACAAAACGAATGTATATGCAGTTTTGCAAGATGAATGGCACTACAAATTATTTTTAAATAATTCCTTATTTTTGGCATTAGGAAACTAGTAATACATTTCTTGCAGTGCTTTAGGTGAATTTAACTTTGAGACAAATTGTACAAAATTGATACAATAACAAAAATAAAATCAATTGAAATGGACAGAAAATTATATTTTGGCCCCTTTGCCATTGGCCCCTTTACCCTTGGACCAATATTAGTCTATGAGCAGCCATATCTAAACAGACAGGAGTCCATTTACTCCAGTCAGGTTCGAAAAACAAACAAAATAGAGAGTTTAATTTCCCTGGTCCCGATTATGCTGGGTCATGGGTAATCTGATGTCAACGGACATCTGACTCCCTATAGACCAACATGAGTCCAGTAATTTAGACTTTTTTTCCCCCATTGCAGGATGGTGGAAATCCATTGACATCTGTTCTGAACTGCTCCAATTATCAGGAAAAGATCCCCTTCTGAACAGAACTGAAGGTGCCTGTGTGTAAGGGACCTTAGTGTACATTGATAGTACATTGATAGTACATTGATAGTAATAGTGCATTGATAGTAATACAAAGATCGCATTCCTGTTGCTTGGAATTATCATGTGGCAATGTGGTAAGGTTTGTACATAATATTTAAACGTCCTAGAGAATAAATATTCTCTCAAGCTATTAAAGATGCCAGTATTTCATGAAAGAATACAAGCATAACTTTATTTTTTAAATCAAAATTATTAATGGAGACTAAATGATTTAGTGAATAAAACAAGCCAGTAAGTAAAATCTTGTTATAGGCATAACAAATATAAGCCATAAAAAGCTGGAGCTACAAGCAGACCACTCAAACAATAAAGAGCCTCATTTTCAAAGCTATTAGCTTACTGTGGGGAACAGGAACACTGAATTGAAATGTTGACTTTACGAAACGATTTGTGTGATATAACACCTTCCATTACAAAAAAATAAATGTTTCATTGCAAAATAAAACATAAAAATTTATATCAACTGGAAAAAAAAATAGAATCTCACCTGATGTACAAAAAAGTGGTGAGACTGCAATAAGGCCACGGAACAATGCTATGCATAATGAGCCTTGTTATTAAATATTTGCAGTTGGCATCAAAAATCTTAAAATATTATTATGAAAAATGTTTCACAGTTAAATATAATAAACAATTTAAATTATGTTAGTAACATGAGCAAAAATAAAGGCATCTCACCTGGTTTATTGCATTAAACCAGCTGTCAGAAATGGACTTAGGTTCCGCTATTTGAGGAGTATTTTGAAACTGTGTAAGTGTTGAGTCTGGAATATTTGCTGTTGCAGGAAAACAAGGTGGATAACAAGATACTTGAGGTTCTGAGGGAGCCATCCTCACTTCCATGTACTTTAAAGTTCCATCTGTGTTCAGGTACAGTGTTGGTTTATATTGATCCATGTAGGACCCAGGGAGTGATTTGTTTGGAAAACAAGAACCACAACTGCTGTCATTATTCTTTTTAAGGCACCTTACCAATAATATCACAAAGGTTACCAAGGAAACTAGGCTGATGGCAACCAAAGAAATGATAAGATATAGAGTCATGTTTGGTGCTGATTTAGAGTGTGCAAGAAAATCATGAGATTTGGGGCTTTCCTGAGCAATATGCTCCATTATATTTACAATCAGAGTGACTGTAGAGGACAGTGAAGGCTCCCCATGGTCACTGATTGAAATGACAAGTCGATGTTCTGTGTTATCCGTCTCCTGTAATCCTCGCACAGTTCTGACTTCTCCTGTATGTTCAGAGATGTGAAACAAAGCTGGACTGCCAGACTGAACAAGTCTATAGGTGAGCCAGGCATTGTGTCCAGAATCCAGATCCACTGCAGACACTTTACTGACTAGATAACCAGCAGATGCAGATCTGGGAATGGTCTCTTCTGCACTGATTTCGCCTGAGTTCTCTGGGTATAATATAGAGGGATAATTGTCATTTGTATCCTGAATAAATATGAAGACTGACACATTGGAAAACAGCTTTGGGGATCCAGAATCTTCTACTCTCGCTGTGATCTGTAGAACTTGGAACTGTTCATAGTCAAAAGATCGCTGGGCATAAATATTACCAGTGTCAGAGTTAATATATACAAATGAAGAAACAGGAGAGCCATCTATGTGGCTCTCTGCTAAGGAGTAAATTAGCTTTGCATTATCTCCTTCATCTGGATCCCCAGCAGATACTGTACATAACAGTCTGCCAGGTTCATTGTTTTCTGATATGAATGCATTGTAAGCAGAATGTAAAAATTTTGGAGGATTATCATTGACATCAGAAATGCTAATGATGACCGTAGCCTGGCTGCTTAAAGATGGAGATCCGAGATCAGAAGCGATCAGTGTAACAGTATATTGGAATATGGTCTCCCTGTCCAGTTGTCCACTGGTGACCAGTGTATAACGGTTTGACATAGGCTGGCATTTAAAGGGTAAATCTGGTGAGATTTCCAGTTTGACCTCCCCATTTTTACCAGAATCCTTGTCTCTGACTGTGATAAACCCAACGACTGTTCCTACTGGGGCACTTTCAGGCACTTCATTATTTTTAGAAGTAAATACAATTTCTGGTATATTATCATTCACATCTTGCACCTCAACCTGGACAACACATCGTCCCTCTAGAGTGGGCGATCCTTTGTCTACAGCTTTTACAAATAATTCATATGACTTTGCAATTTCATAATCTATAGCCCCCTTAATAATGATTTCCCCAGTGTTTCCATTTAAATCAAATATTTCCTTTGCTGAATCCACTGTATGGTCATCAAATAAATATAATATTTCACTATTTGCACCCTCATCTAGGTCTGTAGCATTTAGTTTTATAACAACTGTTCTTAAAGGTACATTTTCCATCAGCCCTACCTTATATCTTGTCTGATCAAACACGGGTGCATAGTCATTGATATCTAAAACAATTATATTAATCTGAGTAGATCCTGATCGGGGAGGTTCTCCTCCATCAATGGCAGAAAGAATAAGCGTGTGTTCTGATTTCTCTTCTCTGTCTAGATTTTTCTCTAGTACTAATTCTGCAATCAAAATCCCATCATTGCGATATTTTTCTGATAATGAAAAATAAGGATTTTGATTTAAGCTGTAATGTCTCACACCATTTTTGCCCACATCCAAGTCTTTAGCAGTGGGTAAAGGAAATCTTACTCCTGGACTTGTTAATAGCTCTGTAATTTTTATTACTTGATCTGAGACAGAAAAAATAGGATAATTATCATTAATGTCCAAAATCTCAATTTCTAGGCTGAACAGCTCCAGAGGGTTCTCAGCTACAATCTCTGAATGCAGCAAACAGCTGGAGCTGGATCCACACAGGCTCTCTCTATCAATCTTCTCTTGTATTATCAGAGCTCCATGTTTCTGGTCAATTGTTAAATATTTGCTGCTTCCTTCAGATCCCAAACTCAGTCTCCTTGTATTAATATTTGCCAGGTTTAAGCCCAGATCCTGAGCTATATTCCCCACAACAGTCCCTGGATCTGATTCCTCTGCAACAGAATAACGAAGCTGCCCAGAGACCCAGCCCCAGCTACAAAGGAGAAGGGAGAAAGCTACTTGCCATTTCCAAGCATTTGAGGAACATTTGCAGTCCATGTCTTTAATCCCTCTTCTGAGAATCAAGTCCTTTTGTAATCCCAGTAAGTATTCCAGCTGAGTTTAAATGATTTGTTGTATAAAAAAGAACATATTTCCTGCATTGAAAACATCCACGGGGTTTTCATCGGAGCAGCAGCTCTTCTTTGTGTGTGAGGAAAGAGATGGGAGGGTGAATCACTGAGCCAGGGGGAGGAGAACACATCTAACATGAACAGATTCTCAAGGGTTGCCTAAAAAATAAACTGGATGGCCTAGTCTGCCCTCTTCTGTCCAAAAATTAGAATGACAGCCTTATTGTTAAATATCAGGGAAATAATGCTTTTCATGCACGAAAATTTAAAATACAGTATGTTTAAAATGAAATAGATCACATTAACTTTCTAATTGAAAATCTAGTTAATAGCTGATGTATGTAGTAAAGCCATCAACTTTGTTATAAATGCATTGTTTTTAAATATGTATCCTTAATTTAAAAAAGGAACAAAAATAAATGCTTTATTGCAAAATGATTTCCAAATAATACTACAGAATGATGCAATATCGTTTTACACCATGTATGCTGAATGCATTGAAAGGGTCCGCTGAGGTTTAATGCATTAGTGAATTTTATAATATGGATAAATTACACAGAATTCTGAAGCTATATCATCTTTTATTAGTTGCAAAATACAACTACAACTGCAACTACATGCAAAATAGTAGGGAGCATAATTTGCTATTGCAAATTATGCAAGTTTTCTGGGCAAGATTGTAGACTGCTAAATGTAGCACATAGAAAACTGTGGTGGCTTGGGATACTAAACATGAATAAAAGTGCTAGTGCTTTGGACAGCAGATAAGCATTGGACCCTGAGCAGTTCCTTTTAGAAGGCAACAATCCAGGTGACCATGCTGTGCATTGCTTAGTCAGAATTTGGGCTGTGGTCATTGTTTGCTGCCTTTCAAGAAGAATAGTCCCACTAGGTATCCCTGATTTCCTTATGTAACCTGCATTTGTAATGATTGGGGGGTGAAGGAGAGCAAAGGAAATACTATCATAATGCATTTTGTGTTACTTGTATGCAGGGCAGGGATTGGGAAGGGAGGGCAGAAGTTGAAATGTGTGTGTGGGCGGGGCAAGCTGGAAATCTTCCAAAGCTTCATTCATAAGCTACCTGCTTGACAGGAGTCACACTTTTCAGGCAAATCAGGGGTTGCAACAGCTGCTGGAAGGAGAATTTTAATATCTCCTCCCTCCAACAGCAGTTTATTGTTTGTGGAAGAGAGCAGGGAGTGGGAACACCTGCTTTCGTCCTAACAAAACAAATGCAGCAGCATTTTTTCTTTCCACTGACACCACTTATGCAGGGACATTCTTTACTTCTAGTTACCCTACCAGCACCGGGCCATATTTTGCCCACTGACACTGATACCGTGTCTTTTTATCATTCAGGTGATACCACAGAGGCAGGGGCATTTAGCCCTTTCACTGACACCACCAACGTACTAGCTTTTTTTTTTTTACTTCCAGTGACACCAACAATGCAAGGGTTTTTCTTGTCACACCAATGCCAGGCCCTCTCTTTCTTTGCCAGTGTTAGGCCCATATTTTACTGTGTTACAGAATGTGCATGGCTGTCAAACATTTCACTGCGCTGAAGTGTGCCATTATTTCACCACATTGCTGTGCACCTGTTAAAGTGACACCCCCCCCCCCAAAAAAAACTCCGTGGGGGTACACTGTGGGGGTAAGGTTGCAAGCACAGCTTAGAATCCTCACCCTGGACCCTGGATGACCTTATTCCGGAACAGCTTGCATGTATATTGTGACTCAACTTTAAGTTTTGATTGGAATAGTCTTTTAACATGATAACTTGTTTTTAGCAGTTTTTGCAGTCCAGAGCCAAAACAAATACCCCAGTGCAACAGACACTGATTTAATTCAGTAACATGCAATAGTAAGGTGTGACGAATTAGCATCTAATATATACAGCACACATCCAAGACAGGCATACAAATATACATACAAATGGAAGATATGTTGATCCAGAATACAAATATTGGTTGTATCATTTGAAAATACTGCAGTTCCTGCAGTAAATTGTGAATGACTGTATGGAACAAAAGAAAATTACAGAAGTTAACAAACTAAAATATAACCCCTACATTATTAATGTAATTGCTTAATAAAACCAGAGGTATTGCATGCATGAAAATACATTCTGATTTTCATAAATTCTACTGAATAGAGTTATATAGTTACATAATATTTTAGGTTGAATAAAGATACAGGTCCATCCACCTTTATGTGTAAGTGTGTGTGTAGTGCATGCATGTGTGTCTGTGAGTCCTGGTGTGGTCCTAGGTTTTAAGAGTGCCTGTACCCCAGTATGTTACGGCCTCCAAGGAAGGTACGTAATTGATTTTTGAATGATTTAATACTCCGCTGATACCACTGCTTGTGGCAGAAAATTCCAAAATGTAACCACTCTGAATGAGAAGAAGCCCCATACACCTTGTGTGGTTAAATCTTTTATCTACCAATTTTAGGCGGTGGCCTCTAGTCCTTGTTAGGGAGTTTACTGTAAAGTGACAATGATTCATTTAGTAAAAAAAAAAAATCTTGCCTGTCTTCTCCAAAATCAAACCAAAGCTTTTCTTTGAAACGACTGCCAACTCAGAGCTGATATTTCATTTTTTGACAGATCCTGGAGATCCATTTGACAATTTAATTTGACAATTTCATATATTTCTCAGCAACTCCATTGGTAATATATCTACCTTGAGTCCCTTTGTATACACAACTGCAGTGGCCCTAATGAGGGGTTCCTACTTTCTATGTCAGAATTGAACTATTATATTTGATGAGGAATGTGCAGAAGATACAAGAACACAATGGTTGGTGGGAAGACTCAAAACTCACAAGTGGACAGAAATAGACACAGAAATATAGCACCTGTTGGTGTACCCAAGACATATAAAAAGTCAGGGGCTGATTCCCCCCTCTAAGCTCTATATACACTTGAGCTCATAAGTTTAAATACCCCTTACACAAAGATCATATACAATATGCCGAATAGCGCCCAGGGGAGCCTCAAAACGTATGCAGCAAAATAATTTGCTGAATAGTTGATGAGACCAAATTAGAACTTTTTGGTCCCATTTATAAATTCTACCATCCCCAACATGATACATGGAATTTTCTTCTGTTTTGGGGTTGTGTGAACTAAAGCAGCACAGGTAATTTAATTGAAATTGGTTTCAAGATGGATGCAGGATATTTTAGAAGATATCAGGGAAGAATTTGCAGTCATAATCATGGAATCTGCACATGAGGTACACTCCGACTTTACAACATCACAATGATGAGAAACATAAAGTTAAGCTGACCTTTTAGTGGCTGCAGCAGAAAAAAATGAAGGTTGTGCAGGGGTCGGAGGGGTGCTGTCACTGTTCACCCACACATTTTCCGACCTGCTCCTTCAATTTTCTGATTGAAGGATGCTGGACAGAAAGCTGCCAACAGGGCAACCCACTGAGCAGATGTTGGCCTGTTCATCTAGACCCTGCCAAAATTCCCACAGTATATAGTATGGCCAGTTTAAGCCTTATAGTTATATTAACCCCAGGTGTGCTACATGTGGGACAGCAGAAAATAAATTTTCATTGCACCTCCTGTCCCTCCTTATCTCTGGGTATTACAGTGCAAAAGCTTTTTGGAATAACAGTGTCTCTGACTAATGAGTCAATCATGCACCACAAAGGAAATTAAGAAATATGGTACCTTGGCTCATCCTACAATTAAATAGAGTCAGGAAGGTTTGTTTTAATAAAAGAATGGGGGAGGCAGAGAATATAAAATGTATGTGGAAGCCCATAAACACAGAGTAACAGTTTCAGGAGATGCCAAAAGAGTTACACGCACTCATTTGCAGATCTTCATTGTAATAGCTGCAAGCCTTTCCTAGAGTGGTTATGAGAAGGCCACACTAAAAGTAGTTGCAACATATATATGATATTTAAGTAATAGCTTTTGTCAATGAGATACAGATGTTCTGTTTGGTATTAGGAAAACACATTTCTAGTATGTACAGCCTTTATCTGTACAATAACTGCAATTTAAAAAAAAATCATCAACTGACATGTACAGTAAATGACACTTTGAGTACATAAATAATAATACAAATAACGGATCTGTTTGTAAGTATCATGTGGTAGTATATTTTGTACATAATATTCCTATAGTCCTAGAGAATTAATATTAGCTCAAACTCTTAAAACTGCAAGTATTTAATGAAAAAAATACAAACATAACTTTTTGTTTTAATTAACAATTTGAATGGAGACCCATTAGTGAAATTTTAAGAAAAAGATTAATTACTGTGAGTAAACAAGCCAAGAAGCAAATTCTATACAATTGCCAAGACATGTAAAAGCCATAAAGGAGTAGATCACTTAAAGACACAACGAATACTAAGCCAAATTTTAAACTGTTAGCTTATTGTGAGCGACACTGAACTAACTTTGAGTTTACCAATGATTCACAGTGTTGTATGACACCTTAAAATAAAAAGCTAAAATGTTTAATTGCAAAAAATATTATACAAAATAAAATGTAAATGATATTAAATGAACTAAAATGACAGAATCTCACCTGATGTGTTTCATTAAACCAGCCATCAGAAGTTGGTTTAGGTTCTGCTATATGAGAATTACTTTGCAGTACTGCGTCCGGAATATTTGTTGCAGGAAAACAAGGTGGATAACAAGATCCTGGGGGTTCTGAGGGAGCCATCCTCACTTCCATGTACTTTAAAGTTCCATCTGTGTTCAGGTAGAGTGTTGGTTTATATTGATCCATATAGGATCCAGGGAGTGATTTGTTTGGAAAACAAAAACTACAACTGCTGTCATAATTATTTTTAAGGCACCTTACCAATAATATCACAAAGGTTACCAAGGAAACCAAACTGATGGCTGATAAAGATATGATTAGATATAAAGTCATATTTGGTGCTGATTTAGAATTGGTAAGAAAATCATGAGATTTTGGGCTTTCCTGAGCAATATTCTCCATTATATTTACAATCACAGTGACTGTAGAAGACAGAGAAGGCGCCCCATGGTCACTGACTGAAATGACAAGTTGATGTTCTGTGTT